TGGTGGAATCGAGCATCCCCGACAACGTCCGCGAAGCCCCGTCATTATATGATGCGCCCCTCTTCGCGAGGTCATGCAACAACCAGGAAGAGCTGGCCGCACTCATCATCCATCTCATGGAGGCCTCGGGCACCTCAGCTTTGGGGGACCAGATCCTGGCGAGGGCTTCGATCCGCTTGCTTTTCAGCAAGTGTAGGGAAAGCTGTGACATGCCCCCGCTGGATGAATCAAGGAACCCAGCCCAACCTGCTGTACCAGTTGCCAGTGCCTCGGCACCGCCAGCCAGCAACGCAGGCACCACTTGGCAGGAGGCATGGCCAGCTAAACTTAGCGCTGAACGCACTGCTGAGCTTCGTAAACGCTTTGAAGACGACTACCCCACGGAGCTTCTGGATAGTGACTGCTTCCCTAGCTCCCGCTTGTTGGCCCTCACCTCAAAAATGATTGCTGACAAGGAAATACGGTGGCTACCATGGAAGTTCCGCTTGAGCGCTAAAGCCCAGGACGATAATCTACTTATTCGTCCAAAAAAGCTCCCCCGCTTGGCAGAGTTGAGTGACCTGCTTTTGGATGAAGCTCCGTCTCGGGATATCCATGACGGCCCAGCTTCGTTCAACTTGATTAACCAGCTCCTCACACTGGCAACCAACAGTATAGCACTCTGTCGGGGAGCTCATCTGGGCTCGCTCAAGCTTTATTTAACGAATCAGCCTCCAACCTGCGTGGACTCACTTCTCTCGAAGCACAGGCAGCAGACAAGCGTGCATGGCAGCTTATCGTTGAACTTGTCAACATTCATGCATGGAAGCTGGACGACGCCCTGCACGAGGTCACCCAGGTTCGTGCCGACCTAAGCACGCTTCTTGCACCGCGAGCCCATATACCCAAGCACCTTTTCCAGCTTAAAGATACTTGGAGACCTCGTCATGAAGGCAAAGGCAACCGCCCCAACTTTCGAGGTAACGGCAAGGGCGGCAAGGGCAAAGGCGAGCACCAGTCGCAAACTGAGGAGGCCCCTGAGAGGGCAGCACGCGGCGGCAAGGGCAAGAAAGGCGCAAATTCCAGCCCCGGCAAGTGGCTCTCTACCCTCTTTATGGAGGGCAAGCAGCACACGCTTTGCATGCGCTATCAGCAAGGCCAGTGCAAGGATCCTTCCACTTGCCGCTACCTTCACAGATGCGCAGTGCCGAAGCCAGACGGGTCAGCTTGTGGGGGCAAGCACCCAGCTTCCCAGCACGTCAGCACGCCTCGCTAGGAAACCCGCTTCGGTGACCAGCGGGAGTCAACCGAGGTGGTACAAGCTGTCCCGCTTTGTGTACCCGCTCGCCCGGCAGGCACACAAGGAACGCTTCAGCCTCAGCCAGAGATTGCTGCACGAGATAGCTCAGCGGCATCACGCGCTATTCTGCGAGTGACTTCAGTTTCTCCACTTGTTTGTCGCTTTTGGAGGAATACTTTTCCGATGCCGCGAACTTCACGCGACAATCTCAGGACATAGCAATCGCTCAGGCCGATGCTTATTTCAACTTCGGGGCCTTCGGCTTTGACGATGGCAAAAGAGTGGGCATCTTTCAGCGTACAGAGCAATTCTCCGACATTGTACGCTTTTTGAACTCATTCCTTTCTCTGCTTTTCCCGGGTGGCAGCTGGTCT